CCAATTCCCAATCCAGTGCATTTTTCTATTTCTTCCTCTAATGCATAGAATAGTCTAGAGTAGAGGGTGGTGGTGGTGGAGGTGGTAGAGTTTGTGTGTGTTAAGATGTGGATTAAAGTCTGTGGCAAGCTTCGCTGTTAAAAAGGAAGATTGGGTTACCCACAGAGAGAGACTGTCCTGTAAATACAAACCTATCAGAAACACAGCTTCCTGTGACACCAGCTTGACTGGCATGCAGCTAACGTCTTCTCTTAAAAAAAAAAAAAAGATTTTTTTCTTCTTGAATATAATTTGTTCTGAAGTGTGTTTTATAGACATGATGATTATTAGCTCATTCACATTACTAACTTAGCTCTCAAGGAGACTGAGTGTGCACCTACACTGGCATGTGGTATTGTTTCTTTATACTCAAGGCTGCTCCTGTTACCTGTAATTAGGACAATCTGTTTGGTTCAAATCAAAGAATGAATTACTCATAAGAGGTCTTTGGAAACTTGAAATTGTGAACCTTTATCCTTTTTCACATTTCCTTCAACAAAAGTCTGAATGACTAAAGGTCTGTTAGAGGTGAACCCCCTCCCCCAATAATTGGGTCTTGTGTAGATAAAAATTACCTATGTATTTGTTACAACAGAGAATTATGATAAATAAGGAGAGTGCCCCTCAACTCCCCTACATCTTGCTTTCTTGGATAGATTGCCAGATTCTCAAAGGTAACATCAAAAGCAACAATCCAAGAGATATATAAGCAAACATTTATCGTGCTTCATTCTATTGAGACCAAAACTCAACTCACGCCTCCTTGCCTTTTAAGTGGTTTTGTAATAGCATGATCAGAATCTCTGTGTTGGCTCACCTAGTGTCTTTCCCTCCCTTCCCCATCCCCCTTTTCATCTTTCTTATTAGGTTATGTGGTGTAGTTATCCACAAGAGCTCATAGTGCCTGCCTGGATCACTGATAAAGAGCTAGAAAGTGTAGCAAGCTTCAGGTCCTGGAAATGTATCCCTGCCGTTTTCTACAGGTAAGTGTAAGCTGGATTAGCCCCAGCTTTGGTTGGTGCTACTGCTCATTCGTTACTTGTGGTCTGCTGTCTCTGCTGTTGCTAATCTAGGGAGGGAATGGTTCAGAGAACTTTCCAGGCAAGTCTGTGCTTCCTTATTGCTAAAGCTGCTTTTCTGGTAACACACTGATAATGCATCCTGTGCATTAGCTGGTAATTCAGTTGACACTGATGAGAAAATTTTAATAGAAAAGCAGACGGACTTGTTATTTCAAGATCCTTCCTAGTTCATTCTGTGAGAAGATCATGTGCTGGTACTGCATTTAGCTTTAGATATTAGCAGGGCTTTTGGATTGAGAGAGGTGAGTCCTAGAAAATGAGTCTTGAGAATAGTGTTGAATCATCTGTGATTATCTTTGTGATTGACCCTTTAGCATGAGGAAGAATTTTGTTTTGAGAGAGAGCATTTAGAGAAAAAGGGTGGGGCTGAACTTGGTTGAAGATTTCAAATATCCAAGCTGTGAGAACCAAGGAATGCAAGTTCTAGAAGGAGATGGTAGAATGGTGATGGAGTACAAGTTTTGGAGACACAGACTGGAGGTCAAGCCTATTCTGACATTCTTTGCTGTGCCCTTGAGTAAGTCTCCTAGCTGACCCCAGTCTTTTCCTAATGAGAAGAAGGGGAATGATAGATAGGTCTTACTTTGCAGATGTACTGTGACATCTGAATGAGGGCCTGTAAACACTGGGCTTCTTCTTTAAGAAATGTTTGGAGCAGATTGTAGATTGTATACTTGAACCCTGCTTTTCTAATTCAGTGACTATCTCAGTTTTTACACTATCATGTTAAAATTTCTAGGAAGTAATGATTACATCCTATAGCATTCTCCATTTCATTTTTCCATTTTACAGACTAATTGGTCCAAGTCAATGGATTAGTTAGAAACTCTCTGATGCCAGGAGGCATTCCACTGAAATATCGAGGTTGTAGGAAGGGATTTCTCTCCTTGTGGAGATCTTATGGAGATAACCAGATTTTCATTTAGTTAATTGAAGGCAAATTCTGATGCTCACCCTGAGTACAGATGGAAAGATGTTTGCTATGGCTCAGCAGAACCCATTAAGTTTTCAATCTCAGTTTTCATCACTCTTATTTTCAGACAGTCCTAAAATAGTAGGTCACCAAATTTACCTATCACTCAAGTGGTAAGGATGACACAAGAATTGGAGAGCAGTAAAAACTGAAGGGATTTATGACTCTTAATCAATGATCAGTCCCATTAGAATGGGGAAAGCAGCCAGCCACTGCTCTGGCCAGCAACTGCTTTAGATCAGGCATTTGCAAGGATTGCTGGCTTTGAACATAAGGGGGAAGTACTCTCATTTTCTAAGTTAAAGGCTGTGATTGAATCTCCCTTTTGGCAGAGAAGCCTAAGAATACTAGTTGAAGAAAAACTAGAGTGTAATAAAAATAAGAAGCCTTTTTTCTTTTCTAAAATTTGTTCTAGAGGGCATGAACTCTAGGGCTTTTTTCCCTTTGTAGAGACCATAAAGTATATATACAAGTGAAAACTCTTAATTATAGTTTTTCAGAGAAAGTCTCTCAAAAGATTATAAATGAAAGTTCATGGTATAGCTTTTGTAAATCCAGATAGGTTTTCTGGAACTGGTTGTTTTGTCTCAGAACATATATCTTTTTAAAATATATATATTTTAGTTTTAGTTGGACACAATACCTTTATTTTATTTATTTATTTTTATGTGGTGCTGAGAATGGAACCTAGCAGCTTGCTCATGGTAAGCAAGTGCTCTACTGCTGAGCCACAACCCCAGCCCCAGAACATATATCTATTTTTTTTTTTTTAATGAACTGACCTTGTTTATTTGGCAATAGATTTTGATATTTCTTTTCTGTTAACTTGTTATGGTTGATTTAAATTTAACTTATGTTGAATATTATATAAAATACAAAATTTAGATTAAAACTACCGTTTTGGAATCTTGCTTAAAAATAAAATTGTAATTTCTCCTTTATATTTAGTGTTGAAACAGTAAAATTAGATGAAGGTTAATTTTAAAGCATCATAAACCTTCTAATTCTTTACTATTTACTTAAGAAAGTATACTAATCATAATCCAGAAAATTTATATGAAAGAAATTTAAAAAGTTATTTATAACCACATCAGCTATTATAATATAGGAATATTTATACCCACTCTATATTAAAGAATGGTCTTTACTTGTAATCATTGATATACAATTTTATATGTGGTTCTTCCATTTAATATTATTCATGTTTCTAGGTGTTTTCACAATCATCTATTTTTAATACACCAGTTAATCAAGTGGATTTATAATATTATTTAGCTGTTTTTTGATTTTAGAAAGGCAAACTTATAATTCCTGATACACATTTCATTAGTTTTTGTTTAATGACTAGAAATCCTTATGTCTTCAGATATTATTACATATTCATTGAAACACACTACCTATCTAGTGATTTATTATATATCTACATCATATTTATTAGATAAGAATTACAATTACTTTTATATAATAAAAGTAAAAAGGAATTTTGCATGTTGGCTATGTTGCACTTTATACATTATTTTTAGGCCTTTGTAGAATATAAAACTTAGAAAAACATTCTCAACTAATATTCTTATTTGATGTAAATGACTCAAACTAGAGAACATATATCTTTTATCTGAGTGCCAAACTGGGTTGCTAGGTTAGTTGGCAGCTTTTTTTTTTTTTTTTTTAAGGGGTACATGAAATATGTTTGGGACACTCTATCACTCTCTGTTCTACCAGCCTAGGTGGCAGAGTGCTTCTGAATATGACAGACACCAAATTCAGTAAATATGTTATATGTGTGTGTGTGTATGTATGTGTGTTATATTTTGTATTTTGCGGTAATGATTCCTGAGGTTGCCAGTAGCCAGTTACTTGACAGCACCATGCTGAACCAATGCCTGATTAGGGCTTTCTCCTGCTGTGATGAGAGAACACTTAATTGGATTTATAACTGAAGACAGAGATTGCTCTAACATAGCAAGATGGTGCAAAGAGCACCGTCTGTATTGCGATTCACAGCTCCCCACTTTGTGCATGTGGTGATTATTAGTAACTCCTAATCATGTAGAGGGCTTGCCTAACCTATAAATTGGGAATACTTCAAAACAGTTGTTTCTGTGTAAAATTGAAGCTTTCAGTGTTTTAGTGAGGCTCATCCATTGGCTATCTCAACTTCTATAATTTTCCTCCTTCTCTTTATTAAAGTGATAGAAATACTGTTTAATTAGTGAGTTTTAACTGTAGTGTTTGAGTTCTCTTTCATGAAGTCTAAAGCATTTTAGAAAGCAGTAGTCCAGTTGAAATATAGCCAGTGACCCTTAAAATCCAAGACCTAGACTGAAAAGTGCCATCTACTGTTCCTCTTGGGCAGTGCTGGGAAACATTGTGGAGGAAGAGGATGCTCAGGAAAGGTCCCACCAATCTCTTCTGTGAAGATTTGCAGTCATTTGCCTCAGTGGTTACCCAGTGCCTGTTATTTGCAAGGCATTGTTAAAAAAATCAATGAGGTTTTCTTATCTTATCTTTTTTTGTTGTTGTTATTTGTTTTTGGTACAAGGGATTGAATCCAGAGGTACTGCTTTACCACTGAGCTTCATTCCCAGCCCATTTTTCATTTTTTTTTTTTTTTTTTTTTGAGACAGTTAAGTTGATTAGGGCCTTCCTAAGTTACTGAAGCTGGCCTCCTTGCAAACTTGGGATTCTCCTGCCTCAGCCTCCTATGTGGCTGGGGTTACAGGTGTGAACCACCACACCTGGCCAATGAGATTTTATGTCCACTTTGGCTTCATTCAGCACATGAGCCAGTTCAGGGTGTTAGCAATATTTGTCTCTCCTGGTGAGGGAGGATTTAAAAACTATAAGTAAAGTGGTAGTTTCAGGGAATTTGATTATTGCCAAATTGAATTTATTGCTCATGAGCTTTAGGATTAAATACAATAGTCTTTCTCACTTTGTTCCCTGGAAAAAATATAGATTCAGTAGTATGTTTTATTTAAATCCATCTGTGTCATATTTATGTGTTTGTGTGTATGCTTATACATGTTTAAAAAACAATTTTAAAGGAAAGTAAAACATAAGTATTTTCCTTGGAGTTATAGAATAGGGACATTTAAATTTTTTGCTTACCAGCTATTTTTACTGCCAACTGATTACTTTTATAACAATAACAAATAGCTTAATTGAGCTATGCCATGTAAAATTCACACTTTTAAAATGTGCAGTTTAATGACTTTTAGTATACTGTATTCAGAGTTGTTCAACTGTCACTACAGTCAATTTTAGTACATTTTTATCACCTGGAAGAGACATTCTGTACCATTAGCAGTCATTCCTTGTTCCATCCTCAGTGCCCTTACCCCTGGGTAACCAGCAATCTATTTTATCTACCTAGTCTGGATATTTTAATATAAATGGAATCATAAAATATGTGGCCTTTTTTGTCTATTTTATTTCATTTAGCATAACATATTCAGGGTTCATCAGTGTTGTAGCATGTATCAGAACTTTATTCCTTTTTAGTGCTAAATAATTTTTCTAACCTTTTAATTGCTATAATTGCCTAATTAGAAAACACTTTGGGTTTTAATAGCATCTTAAAGTAGACTGTGAGTATGATTTCTGCTTTGGGAAAAAAGATCTGTCAGAGTATGATTTATTGAGGTTGCTGTTCTTTTACTAAGAGCCTGAGGAAGGATAGTGGGCTTATTGAGCCATCTGCCTAAATAAGAGCAATTTTTGACTCATGAAATCTCAGATTTTTTGTAGGCAAGTGTTTTCAGTTCCAAAGGTAGGATCTGTTTGGGGTGTGTCGGGGAGAGTAGGGGTAAGAAGGCTCAGCAACTTTAATGAGGCCCTAAGCAGCTTAGCAAGACCCTGCATAAAATGTTTAAAAAGCGCGCTGTTAGGGGGCAGCAGGGGATGTGGCTCAGTGGTTAAGCGCGCCTGGGTTCAAACTTTTTGTTTAAAAAAAAAAAAAAAGAAGCCCGTTTGATAAGGTGCTACCTGCACCCATAGCAGCAGTTTTATAGTATATGAGAAACTTTTCTTGAAGTGGCCTTTTCTTTTTTCTTTTTCTTTCTATCTTTTTTTTTTTTTTTAGTTGTAGATGGACACAATATTTGTATTTTATTTATTTTTATGTGGTGCTGAGGCTCAAACACAGTGCCTCATATGTACAAGGCAAGTGCTCTGCCACTGTGCTACAATGCCAGCCCAAAGTGGCCTTTTCTTTAGAAGAGCTTTCTGGAAGAGAATTTGATGGGATTATTTGAGGAGTCTTGAGTCTTGGCCAAGAACCAGAAGACTCTTTGTTTCAAGCATGGCTCTCATGACAAGAATGGAGTATGAGTGTGATGGGGACTTGTAGTGTATCTATACTCCTGTAGGGAGGTACCAAGTTTTGGACTATAGGTGTAGAAATGAGATATAGGAGGTTGGGCTATGTGGATCTCCATGTTTACCTCAGGAGTTGGTTTTGGAAAATGAATTGTCAACTTTTAATAAGAAGGGAAAATAGAAAATAAACTAAGAAGAGTAGTTCATCTATCTAGGTCTGGTTAGGAGGTTTCATTTGAGTTTTTTGGTACTACAACATGTGTCTCTGGTTCTAGTTTTCACAGTTCTCAGAGACACAGGTTTATTTAGTTTTTACCCATCCCCCCTTCCTGATGTCCGTAGATTCTTCTCTATCAAATGCTTCAGGAGCAGAGAGTTTAGCCATCCAACCGCAGAAGCTTTTGATCTTGGATGCTCGCTCCTATGCAGCAGCTGTGGCAAACCGAGCCAAAGGAGGAGGCTGCGAATGCCCAGGTAAGATGGATGGCGCATGGTCCTCAACTACTATCTCCTTATGAGTCCAGCCCATGCCCAACCTAGACTTAGTTCTCAATTTGAAATAAGTGACAAGCGATATTTCTCCCCTTCTTTCTTGAGAGAGCCAGAGTTTCTCTTTATATTCTTAAAATTGTGTGTTCTTTTCCAAGCATATATGGAGGAGGAGGTGCAGTGAAGCCAAATAATCTTCCTTTCCTGCCAACCTTTAAGTGATAAAGAAAGCAAATCTTCCATAAGACTTGTTTACATTTGGATGCTGCTTTAGTGGCTCTGTTTCTCAGTCTTCTAAAAGCTTTTTGTTGCCTTTGACAGTGGGTATGCTCCTTACTGGCCTCCTGGCAAACTCCATGTGGGGATTTTTTCCTTAGAAAACCTGGGGTGAAAATTGTCCCGACTTGTAACACATTTGCTGTTTGAATGGTGGCTTTCTCTGAGGAGGGACTCCTTGGTACCAGTTGTGGCTGATGGTGCAGGAAGAGGTACCAAGCTCCTTATTTAGGTGTGACCTGAGCTGGAAACTGGAAGCAGTTGTACCAAGATAAAATTTAAATGCATGAAAGCACTGTTCTGCCAGATTCTTTTCAGAGAGATTCCAGAGCCACAAATAGATGAGGCCCAGGAAGTAAAGATGAGATGGAAGTTTATAGGTCTTTCTTTTAAAACAAAATAGCTTTTATTTTGTTAGTACCTTCTTTACAGCTCTAACCTTCCTTTTTCACCTCTTTTAGAAAGACAGCTACAATGCAAGTGCTGTTGGCATCTTTGAATAAAGCACTGGATTAATAGTCAAGCATCACAACATTGCAGTTTCATTAGTTAGCAGCTGCAATGGATTTGTTTTATAGCCAGTTTGCATCTTTTAAATTTGGTCATGCAGGCTTTAAATTCAACATATTTGTGTTCTCTTTATTGTTATTCTTTCCAAATTATTACCCAAACTGTGAAGTTGTGTTTATGGGGAGTTTTCAGTCTTTGAGGTTGCTGTGCACACAGACGCCAGATCCGGGAAAGTAAGACTTTAGTTTTACATTGCTCTTTTTTTGTTGTTAATTAAATTTGGAGGTATCCTCTCCTGATTCATGGTACACTTAAGTTACATTTTTAGCCTTTTTACATATTCTTTCTGCATCAGAAGCAAGGCAGCATAGAGCAGAGATGGAAGAAAAACCCAGCCCTTTGAAACATTTTTAAATGTGCAGCACAGGAAAAAAATCTCAGTCCTTTTTAGAACAGAAGCATTGCCTTGTTTGTGCTGGGACTCCCACCCTTTCTCTTTCATGTTGTTTTTGTCCTAAAGCATTTTTATTCTTTGTTTTCTGAAATCCTATAGTGACACTTATTTGCTATGAACTGGGTTGTTTTACCACAAAAAGTCAGTTTACTCTTCATGTTCTAAAATGGATTAAACTTGTCATTAGGTCAGTTTCTTTTATTCTTGCTTCTGATTTCTAAACTACTCTTTTATTTACTGAGAACATTATCATGATTTTTATTGCTCATTAAAAATGAATGGTTGGCATTTGTAATAAGGAAGGTGAAGTAATACCCTCTGCAAGGGTACTCTTTGAATACAAGATAAATTAGGAGCAGGGCTCTGTAAAACAAATATGGACAATAAATATTTAAAAGCCCCTGTTCTACTATTTCAGGAAGCTAGAGTTGGTGCCAGAGAAGACAGAATTCATTTTTTCTAGAGTTTGTGCTAAAGCCCATAGTCATTTCCCTGGGTCCTGTTCAGTAGATCTCATGATCACATTGAGTTTTGCTGCATTCTTTATTGGATTTATTAAATCAGGTACTGCCTAAACCACTTGTATTGACTTTTACTAGCAAAGGATTAAATTCATTACAGTTCCATTCAGCCCTTAGGTTAAAGCAAGTGTCCTTTGTGGGCAGACTGTTCAAAGAAATGAGCTTCCTACTTTCCTTTGGGATTTGCTATTTGCAATTCCTACACAATTCCAGGACCCATCTGGCAGCACCCTTTCCTCTAAGATGGGGCATAGAATGTACCTGGCTGGGAACCCAGGAGACCTGCCGCAAACTGAGTTTGTGACCTTGGCAAAGTGACTTTACTACCATAGGTCTTACTTTTTTGTCTATAAAACAAAGATTGCCAATTATGTGATCTCTCATATCGTCCATATTAAAATTACGAAAATAGCTTTTTTTGGGGGGGGGGGCGGGAGTACTGGAAATTGAATCCCAGGGCACTTAACCACTGAGCCATATCCCTAGACCTTTTTATTTTTTGAGACAGAGTCTTACTAATTTGCTGAGGCTGGCTTTGAACTTGCTATCCTCCTGCCTCAGTCTTCCAAGCCACTGGGCTAGAAAAGCTAGTTTTTGAACTCAGATTATTAGCTCTTACTTCCTCCAAATTAATATCTAGGGAATTTTATTAAAGAAGCAGCAAATCATAATGCACTACCGAAGCCTCTTGTGGGGGAAAAAAGCCGCTTTGGTAGTGATGGGATGGCTCTAAGTTCATCCCCAATGGTGGTTTGGGGTTGTGGAGGAATAGGGGATGCTTCTGCTCCAGTTTGAGAGTAGCACAGGGGAGTGTGCTGTATTCTAGAACCTCCTCTGCTGGCATACTTCAGAGTGCAGCTTTTCTCTTAGACTAGGGTAGCACCAACTGGTATTTTATAACGGTTCAGTCATGTTCAAAAGAAACCTACACTGATTCTTTTGTTTACCATTTCTCCAGAGGTAAGAAGATAATTTCATTTTTGGTCTCTTAAGCCTATAGTTTGGTTTCCTTCACGGCCATGTGAACAATGAGAATAAACAATTGATATATCAGGAAAAAATGTTTCCAAGTATCTACTAAGAGATAGAAAGTATTGATATTGTGTTTTTACTGATGGCAGACTTACAGCTCATTAAACAGTAGGTCTCCTCTCTGAATACTAGGCACTCAGTACATCTGTGATGGAAACAGTGTCAGCTCTCCAAAGAGTCACAGTCCAGGTGGTAGACGGTACTAATCTATATGAAATCAGTACATATGCATTTAATTCTGTAGTCTGCTTGTCTGGCTGGGAAGATCCCCTGCTCCTTAGACTCTTCCAAAAATTCATTCATTCCCTGAGATTTAGTAGACCTTTATGGCTTTGTCCTGTAGTCCCAGTGTTGGCAGTTACTCCTAAAATAGATGTACCACCACTTCATCTGTATTTATTCCTTCCTGTCTGGCTCATTGTTTGAAGACCTGGACTTGTCTTAACCACAAATTTTGCATTTTAGAAAAATCTGAACTCATTTTTGGGAATTAGGGGCAGGGAGAAGCACAAGAAACATATGTGTAAACAGATTAAAACAAATCAAAACAAAAAACAAAAACTCAAATGTGTCAGTTGGTGATTACTCCCAAGAGGCAGTTCTTGCTATCTGATATTCTTGAGTGCTCCTTTAAAAAAGATTCTTCTAGATCCCTGCTCAATCTGATATGGGTAAAGCCTAGCAATTCCATGTGGCCATTGGTAGACTAGTTTCATAAGTCTAAATCATCCTATTAGGCTCATCCAGATTTTATATATATGCACACATATATGTATATATATGTATATACATATATATATACACACATATATGTATATATATGTATATACATATATATATACACATATATGTATGTATATATATATATATATTAGATGGGCACAATACCTTTATTTTTTTATGTGATGCTGAGGATCAAACTGAGTGCCTCATATGTATAAGGCAAATGCTTCACTACTGAGTTACAACCCCAGCCACATTCAGATTTTTTTGAAAATTTGTTTTTAGTTATAGATGGGCACAATACCTTTATTTACCTTATTTATTTATATGTGGTGCTGAGGATTGAACCCAGTGCCTCACACATGTTAAGCAAACACTCTACCACTGAGCTATAACTCCAGCCCCCCATGTGTGGTGTCCAGTGTTCAGCTTATATCTCATTATAGACTATTTATATTTTTAAGTTTACTTTTTTTTTGAGAACTTATTGGAAAGGTTTGTTGATTCTTAAATGTCTTCTGTTTTACATCTTAGAAATATCTCTCAGAAGGTTCCACTTTTCTTATACTGTGTGTATCTACTATGGACTGAAAAACATTAATTTTTAAATTTTCTCTGGGAAATTACTCATCAGCATGTTAGAACCAAAGGTGGTCTTATTAAATACAGTCCCTATTTCTGAGGATGCCCTCTATTACAGAGTAAGGCCTGAGTCTTGATTTTGGACATGTTTTATAAACAGATTTTCTGTCTGTTTTGGCAGTGTCACATTTGAAGAGAAAAATCTTGGGGTATTGCTTTTTATTTGACAGGTGTTGGATATGATCAATACATCATAAAAACTTGCCTCATCCCTTCCTATTTTTATAGTTGGCTTTCAGCTCTTGAAAGCACAAAGTGGCTTCATCACCTATCTGTGCTTTTGAAGTTGGCCCTTCTGGTGGTGCAAGCTGTGGATTGTGACCAGCAACCTGTACTAGTGCACTGTTCAGATGGCTGGGACCGCACCCCTCAGATTGTGGCACTGGCTAAGCTCTTGCTGGACCCTTATTACCGAACCATAGAGGTGAGTGTGTCCAAAGTGTGGGAGTTGGTACTGTATAACAAGTGTGGGAGGTCTCCGAGAGTCTTATGATCATTTTTTTTTTGGGGGGGGTTACCAATTAGGTCTAAAGAAAGCCAAATTTGTTTTTAATTATTCCTCCTGCACCTTGAGCTACATTGTTAGAGGTGCCTGCTGCAGTTCTTATGCCTATTAAAGTGTGACAGATTGTAGGTTACAAGGTATTGAGAAATATAGATCTTTTCTTTTATAGCCTGTCTACATGGGAAAGTTCTGGCTAACCCAGGAAAATGAGGCTTCTTTAAAAAGGATTTTGGTTTGCTTATGATAATAGGTCTAGATATTACAAAAAGAGTGTTCTGTCAAGAAGGAGTTTGACCCTAAAATAACCTCCTTTTGGGTTAAAGAAGTAAGAAAAACCACAAAGTACGCTTAAACATACACACACACACACACACACACACACACACACACACATATATATATATAAACATTTGTAAAAATCTAGGGTGGGGAAGGATTTTACAAAAATGCCTTTGTAAATTTAGCACCAAATGTGCAAAATTCAAAATAAAAGGTAAATTAAGGGGGAATATATGGCTTTTATAAAACATTAAATATTAATTTTCTCTGGGAAATTGTCCCTCAAATGCCAGGCACAGTGGTGGTGCACACCTGTAATATCAGCAGCTTGAGGGGCTAAGGCAGGAGGATCATGAGTTCAAAGCCAGCCTCAGCAATTTAGCAAGACCCTGTCTCTAAATAAAAATACAAAAAAGGGCTGGGGATATGGTTTAGTGGATCACGTGTCCCTGGGGCTCAATCCCTGGTACTCATTACACACACACACACACACACACACACACATCCCTCAAGATGTTAGTCTGGAGGCTAAAAGTATGAACAAATTCAAGAAAGGAGCTTAGTTAACTAAGATGCATTGTTAGGGCCCTTTCAGTGAGTGTGGAATGGAGTTCAGATAATTGAGAAAGTTCCTTAGACTTGTGTACCAATAGAAGGAGCTGGCTATGGACCTAGGCTAGAGGAACCTACTGGGAAGCTGTTAAATGGGGTTGCTGGTGGTGACACCAGGCTCAGGACTGCTACAGTGTTGGTAGCCCAGCACAAATTGTCTTTCCTGGGTGCCTCCCTGCAGGGTTTCCAGGTCCTTGTGGAGGTGGAGTGGCTAGATTTTGGCCATAAGTTTACTCTGATCGGTGCGGTCATGGGGAGATGACCTCGGATGATCTGAACGAGCGTTGCCCAGTGTTTCTGCAATGGCTTGAATGCGTTCATCAGCTTCAGAGGCAATTTCCTTGCTCTTTTGAGTTCAATGAAGCATTCCTGTGAGTTTGGGCTTCTGATTCTACATTTTGGGAACCATCAAAATTGGACGTGATACTTACGCAAATATTAGTGGTCCAATTTTCACATGAAAGTATGTAGCCTTTTTATAATTTAAGTAGAGGGGTCATTATTTTCTCCTATTTTTATTTGAAAACAATAATAAATTGGCATTTGTTTACTTACTGAATCCAAATGTACCTTTTTTTTTCTTGTAAACCTTGAGTTGTTTTAAACTTAGCTTTTAAAAGAGATGATAGAAACCCTAAATAGTAGTTAGAAATAGAAGCAATTCGTGTGTCGCATATTCCCTCCAGTCCATCTACCAAAGCCCCTACTGCCTCCAAAGTTCTCTTCTCCCTTCTCCTTTGATAAAAGATGCACTATCCTTGTCCTTTTTAGCCCATCTGTTCTGCTATACACAGTTCCCATCTCCTCCCATCTGTCCTGCTGGCTAGCTCCAGCATTTCTCCTCTTTCCTTCTGCAATGGCATATTTCCCTTTCCCAGATCACAGCTGTAAACATGCAGACAAAGTATAATGTGTGTGTGTATATATATATATATATATATATATATATATAAAATCAAAACCCTTTCTTGGTCCTGCATTCTGTTCCAGCTATTATCCTGTATCTGTGGTCTCTTTTACTGCAGAGCTCCTATATTAGCTATCTCAAATTTCTTCTGTTCTTTTCAGCCCACTCCAGGAAGGCATGCACCATAACACTTTGCCAAAGCTACTCTTGTTAAGGTTACCAATGATCTTTCATGTTGCTGACCCAGTGATCAGTGCTTAATCTCTTTGATCCATCAATTGTAATGGCACAGTTCAGTTTCTTTTTTGAAATACTTTCTTCAAGTTGACCTCTTTTACACTTACCACTCTTATTCTCCTCTTCCTCTCTGACTGGTCCTTTCTGTCTGCTTTGCTGATTCCTCTTGGTCTCCCTAGTTCTGAATCTTGGAATGCCCCAGGGTTCATCCTCAAGGCTACTTTTCCATGTAACTACAATGTAACTACTTGAAGGATCTCACCCAGTCTAGTGACTTTAATTGCTCTCCATGTGATGAGAATCCATTCAGCTTAGACTTCTACACTTAACTTCAGCCACAATCATGAACACTCGGTATCGGTATTTCTATTTGGAAGTCTCAATGGCATTTCAAACTTGATTCATTTAAAACTTGATTCTTGATTTCTACATCTCCCCACAAACTTAATCTTGTAAGAGTCTTCCATTTCACCATATGGCAACTTCATCCTTCCAGTCATTTAGGGCAAAAACATTTATGCCATCTTCAACTCTTCCTTCTTATTTCACATTCAGTCTATTTGAGTCTGCAGTTTTTGCTTTCAAAATGTGTCTAAAACCTATTATTTATTGTCACCTCTACTATGTCACACTGGTCCAGGCCACCATTATCTCCTACTCTCATTTCATATAGAGTCAAGCTAGTCCTTCTAAAACATTAGACAGACCATGTCATCCCCTGCTGAGAAACCTCCAGTAACTATATTTCATACAGTAAAAGCCAAAGTCCTTAAAATGGCTTAAAAGGCCTACCTCTCTAGGCTTGTTTCCTCCTATCCCCTCCCCTCCCTTCCACTGGCCTCTTAACTATTTCTCAGACTGTAAATGTACTCCCCTCAGCCATTGTGCTTGTGGTTGCCTCTGCCTAGAGCATTTTCCATCAGATACCCACATGACCTCCTCTCTTCCTTCTATCAGGTCTCAACCAGTGAGGCCTTCCCACAGCCTAGACCCCTCTCACCCTGTCCTATTGTTCTTCATAGTATTTGTCACCTCTGCCCTAGCTAGAGTAAGCTACATCAGGGCAGGAAAGCTGGTTGATAATTGCTGCATATCCATCACCTCTGGTACCTGTAGTCATGCCTGGGGCAAGTGAAATGTTCAGTAATGATTTGTGGAATAAACAAATAGTTTTACAAATGTGCTTTCAGCTTTGACACAGTTTTACGCTGACCTGCTCTTGCACCCAGCTTCTGTGCTCTGTTGCTCTTGAGGATGGCTGTTAACTCAGAAGCTCAGAGACTGTTCAACAGGGAATCTAAGAGGAAAGGGGGTGTACCAGTTTATCTTTAACTCAGGAATGCTGGTGGATAGAGTCAGGCCCTGGAGTTGGTGGCATGAAGAGGAGGCTATTGTGTGACCAACCGGGCTTCCCTATCCTGACAGCGTAAACTGAAGTGCTTTCAGACATGTTGGGGTAGATGGCTCTGCTGGGCTCCCATGTGTGCCCTACTGCATGATTTTGCCTCATTGGACTCCCATAGGTGAAACTGGTGCAGCATACCTATTCCTGCCTCTTTGGAACATTCCTGTGCAACAATGCCAAGGAGAGAGGTGAAAAGCATTCTCAGGAATGAACATGTTCTGTATGGTCGCTTCTTCGGGCTGGCAGCAAGGCTTTCAAAAACCTACTGTATTCCTCTCAGTCAGAAGCTATATGTATCCTTCAGTCTTTCCTCTGTCATCAGCAGAATGAGTTTGGGGTGGGGGACAAATGGGAGCCTGTTTGAATAGTGCTTCTTTTTGTGAAGGCATCTCTATCTATGGATGAGCTGTTTCCATTTTCCCTCACTATTCTCAGAAAGAACTGTTTCCTGATGATGCTCTGACCTGCTTCTGACCACTTTGCTTAGGGTGTTTTAATATACATTTCTACTTTGCCACCCTAGACATCAATCTTTTCTGGCACTTCCTCCAGAGCTTAATTTATTCGTAGCATGTTTTGTTTAACTGGTGGAAGAGCACTTAAGTTGTTTTCTGGGTGCTTCTCATATCTCAGAAGGAGCTGTTCCTAGGCCCCTGGCACCTCCTCATGTACCAGGTGATGATATCCTCTGCAGCTTCTGTCTCAGCACAGAACTGGGTCTGATACTGATTATGTGTATGTGATTCTCTGCTCATAAGAGAGCTAGCAGGCCCTTTAAGACTTTGTTTCTCAAAGGAATACCTTCTGTTCAGCAGAGAAAACAGGCACATACATTTGCGTGTCAATAGATGGTAAAATTCCTTTGTTCAGAATGCATCTTAAACCCATAAGAAATCAAAGCAGGTTAATCAGAAGTTATATTGCTTAGCTGGGATATTCATATGCTTCTCATTACATTTAAATAATCAAATCAAAGATTTAAGCTAACTGCTTCTCTCCCCCTTCACCCTACCTCCTGGAGGAGTAACAGTGCAAGAAGAAAATACCCTCCTTTTCACATGATTAATATAAATGATCCTGTAAAGCAGGTTTGGCAGTTTCTGCTGAAGCCAGGCTTTTATACAGGAAACAAATAATCACTGTAACAGAATGACTCACTTTCTTATGCAGCAAAGCAAGCTGATGAAAGTTATCAGTCATTCAATAAAGATGACCTGAGAAATACTTAATGAAAAAATGGACCTTTAAAAGATCCTTTCAGACTTTCATGCCCATAAGAGGTGCTTAGGTGAAAAATGTTGCCAAACAGAATCTCTAGTCCTATATTGGCCTTTTTAGGAGATAGCTCTCTATCCACTGATGCTGCTTCCCCAGGGATCAGTGTCCTAGCGCTGTGGGGTGTTAGAGCTGGGAGTATATTCTTGATCTTTCCAGATATTTCTAAAATGCTTATTGGGACATATTTAAATCTGTGTCCTCTCCCCCTCTTCAGGTACTGTACCCTGTGTGCCATTTGTGTAACCTGATGCTGTGGAGTGCAGTGTATCTGCCCTGCCCATCTCCTTCTGCCCCTGTGGATGACAGCTGTGCACCATATCCAGTCCCAGGCACCAGCCCTGATGATCCTCCCCTGAGCCGGTGAGCCCAGGGGTGATGCCACAGGCCTCAGGTCCTGTGTGGGTATATTCCTGTATGGGAACATGCCAGGGATGGTTAAAGATCATGATATTTTCTGGCTCCACAACATGTTCTTAGGTCTCTAAAGTTTTCTCTGGGAAGATAATCAACAGCCTAGTTTCCAGAAGTGAGTTGGGCCCTGTTCTACGACATGCACCAAGCAGTTTCTCAGTGATAGAGTACATCCTCTGTGCTCTTTGTGAACCCTGGTTTGTATTTCATTCACTACTCTCTGCTCCTGCCTCCCTGACCTGATTTGTCTTCTGAGCTTGAAAGCAAATGCTGTGAGATCATAGAAATGTTGGCTTTGCTACTTATGAATTAGCTTTATTAAATTCAGAGTGATTGGCTAATAAATTAAAATATTGTAATATCAAAGAATCAGCAGTCTGACCTTGCCACCAGTTGAGGAAACACAACAGCATCAGGGAGAATGCCTTTTGAAAATAACATTTGCTGTTAACTTATTTGTATGGATGGGGCATAGGTTAGAGGCAGTGCAGATACGAGGACTTATGAGGGAGCTTTGCACTCCAGAACATTATTTGAAATGTCATAGCTCCAGCTTGTTAAAACCTGTTGTCTCCTGATCTCCTCTGAATAGCCTCCAAGATTCTCACTTTTCCCAAACTTCTATCTTTTAGCATACCAAAGACTAGATCATTTGACAATCTGACCATAGCCTGCGACAGCACAGTGCCTCTGGCCAGCCGGCGAAGCAGCGACCCCAGCTTGAATGAGAAGTGGCAGGAGCACCGGCGCTCTCTGGAACTGAGCAACCTTGCTGGTCCTGGAGCGGAGCCATCTGCTGACACCCGGGTGCCCAGGGTGCTGAGCTGTCCGTGGCAGCTGGGGTGGCTGAGGGGCAGATGGAGAACATTTTGCAAGAGGCCACCAAAGAAGAGAGTGGGGCTGAAGAGCCTGCACACAGGGGTAGTGTGGAGATGCCACAGATCAAAGAGGAGAACAGGATAGCAACTGAGGGCTCAGCCATTGTACTTTACCAAGAAGCAGAGTTGGGGGTTGCTATTCTGAGGAGCCATCCAGACTCCAGCCTGTCTCTATTCTCACAGGGTATTCCTGAAGAGCAGGGTGGGCCCAGTGTTCTCTCCAGTTCACTCCAGGAACCCTACAGGGGAGAGGATTCTCGGGAGGTTCCTTTGGAGCAGCCTCCAATAGAGGATATTGCGGAGAACCAGGAGGATGCAGCTCCTTCCATCCCAGTAGATGTAAAAGTTGGTTTTGGTACCTCACTGTCTAGTTCTCTGCCACCTTCCCAAGTCCCTTTTGAGACCAGAGGACCAAACATGGACAGTTCCATGGATATGTTGATGGAAGATAATGTGAAGTCAGAAAGTGGACCCCAAGTCCACCGTAAGCCTTGCCTGGTTATCACTGGCAGGTTCAGTGGCAAAGACGTGCTTCCCCCAGCACTGGAGCCCAGGCCTGCTGAGAGGAGCCTCATTGAGAAGCCACAAGGGGGGTCTGTGGTCCACAGGACTTCTCCTGGCAGCACTCTTAGCCCAACAAAGGCCCCTTGTGCCTTGCCTTTAGCCGAATGTAAAGAGGGGTTTGTGTGTAACGGTGCCCCAGAGACTGAAAACAAGGCCTCAGAGCAGCCCCCAGCACTTGGCACCCTCCAGAAGAACTCCACACCCAATAGGCACTGTGCCAATGCGGAGGCTGGGAGGAGCAAGGACTCGCTGAGCCGCCAGCTGTCTGTCACAAGCTGCAGCTCTGTCCATTTACACTCTTGGAAACTTGCACCACAAGTGGCTGCATAGCCACTCGGGAAGGCCATCCGCAGTCAGCAGCCCTGAGCACCCTTCCCGCAGCCACCTGGATGATGATAGCATGCCTGTGTACACAGACACAATCCAACAGCGCCTGCGTCATATCGAGTCAGGCCACCAGCAGGAAGCGGAGACCTTGAAGAAACAAGTCCAGGAGCTGAAGAGTCGCCTGGAGAGCCAATACCTGACTGGATCACTGCGCTTCAATGGGGACTTTGGAGATGAAGTGGTGAGTGGGTCATGGTTCCTCTGTAGCCGTCTGAGAGAAGATGGCAGAACGAGGATGGGCACACTTTTTTACCCAGTGCATGGTGACTGGTGAGGATTTCTAAATGAATTGAAAAGGTTTAAAGTAGCCCTGTTCACGGAGGCTGAAGATCAGCCTCAGCCATGTAAATGGAAGACTGTCTGTTGTTGCAAAGAATCCTTCAGAGAAAGGAGGCCATGCCCAGAGCACTATTTTTACAAAGTGGCGTGGTTGGATCAGCAGGTCCACCAGGGCAGCTTACACTGGGAGTTCAGTTCCCACTCCATCCTGGTCACTTCTGTCCCACATACTTCCTGGAACCCTAAGGTCCATGTTTTGACTCCAGTGTCAGTGCACACAACCTGGGTATCTCCTTTCAACTGAGTCCAGCATCATCTCTGCACCTGTTTAACCCAAGGCCCAATGGTTGATGCATCTCAGATTTGGTAGCCCTAGTACTTATGCCTGCACCTAGTCCTCAGTGCTCCCTTTTTCACCAAGCCCTTTCTTTTTCTTTTTGGAGGAGACCGGGTTCATTCTGTTCAGCTGTGTTTGTTTGCCAACAGACTTCAATCCCTGACTTGGAAAGCAATCTGGATCAGAACTGTTTGTCTCGCTGCATCACAGAGATTTTCTCTGAAGCCAGCTGGGAGCAGGTGGATAAACAGGACACAGAGGTACAGGCTCAGCCCCTGCTCTCAGTGCTATCCATGCAACTATTTGGTGGTTTTTCTTCAGCCCCATCCCTGCCCCATGCCCCTTACCAAGGAAGAACCTCATAGCACAGTTAGTTCTGAGCTTCTGGTATTTCAGCTCCTGTGAACCCACATCAGGCCCATCATTTCTGAGCCAGAGAGACTCAGCAGGTTGGCCCTCTGTCTACGTTGCCTCTGTGAACTGGACCCTTACCAGCTCTCACAGCAACCTAGGGTGATGCTGCCACTTTATCTCAGGGGAGATTGGAGTCCCCTCCAGGGAAACCATTTGGACGCCTTTTTTGTACTTTTGGCATCAGACCTGCTGGGCTGGTGCTTCCAGAGCCAATATGGCTTACTTTGCTTAGCATAATATTCTCCAACTCCATCTATTTACCTGCAATTGTCATACTTTTATTCTCTTTTCATGCTGAGTAATATTCCATTGTGTATATACACCACTGTGTCTTCATCCATTCATCTATTGAAGGGCATCTGTATTGGTTCCACAGTTTAGTTATTGTGAATTGAGCTGCTATAAACATTAATGTGGCTGTGTTTCTATAGTATGCTGATTTTAAGTCCTTTGAGTATAGACGGAGGAGTGGGATAGCTGGGTCAAATGTTGTTCCATTCCAAGTTTTCCAAGGAATCTCCATACTGCTTTCCAGACTGGCTGCATCAATTTGCAGTCCCATCAGCAATGTAAGAGTGTGCCTTTCCTCCCACATCTTTGCCAACACTTATTTTTCTTTGTATTCTTCATAGCTGCCATTCTGACTGCAGTGAGATATATATCTTATAGTAGTTTTGATTTGCATTTCTCTAATTGCTACAGATGTTGAACATTTTTTAATATATTACTGATTGATTATATATACTCTTCTGAGAAGTGTCTTTTCAGTTCTTTGGCCCACTTATTGATTGGGTTATTTTATTTTTCGGTGTTAAGGTTTTTGTGTGCTTTATGTATCCTAGATATTAGTGATCTATCTGATGTGCTTGTGGTAAAGAGTTGCTCCAAATTACTTGCTGCCCTGAGGTTTCAACTCTGGATGGACCAACTCTTTACCACAAGCACATCAGATAGATCACTAATCTCTAGGATACATAAAGCACACAAAAACCTTAACACCGAAAAATAAAATAACCTAATCAAATCAAATAACCCAATCTCTATTCACCTCACTGATTGTTTCTTTTGCTGAGAAGAATCCTTTTGGATTTATTCCCTCTCATTTATTGATTCTTTTTTAAAATTCTTGTGCTATAGGATTCTTATTAAGGAAATTGGGGCCGAATCCTACATGATGGAGATTTTGGCCTACTTTTTCTTCCATTAGGCACAAGGTCTCTAGTTAAATTCTTAGGTCCTTGATCCACTTTGAGTTGAGTTCTGTATGGTGAGAGATGGGGATTTAATTTCATTTTGTTCCATGTGGATTTCCAGTTTTCTCAGCACCATTTGTTGAAGAGCCTATGTTTTCTCCAATGTATTTTTGGTGCCTTTTTTAAATATAAGATTACTGTAATTATTTGGGTTAGTTTCTGTGTCCTCTTTTCTGTACCATTGGTCTACAGGTCTATTTTGGTGCCAATACCATGCTGTTTTGTTACTATTGCTCTGTAGTATAATTTAAGATCTGGAATAGTAATGCCACCAGATCCACTCTTGTTGCTAAGGATTGTTTTGGCTATTCTGGGTCTCTTACTTTTCCAGATGAATTTCATGACTACTTTTTCTATTTTGATGAGGAATGTTATTGGGATTTTGATTGGGATTGAACAGAATCTGTATAGCACTTTGGGTAGTTTGGCCATTTTGACAATATTAATTCTGCTTACCCAAGGAGATCTTTCTATCTTCTATTGTCTTCTTCAACTTCTTTATTAGTGTTTTGTACTTTTCATTGGTGAGATCTTTTACCCCTTTTGTTTGATTGATTTCCAAGTTTCTCTTTTTTCTTTTTTGAAGGTATTGTGAATGGGACAGTTTTCCTAATTTCTCTTTCAGTTGATTCATCATTGGTGTATAGGGATGCAATTGATTTATGGGTATTATTTTTATATCCTGATAAGTTTCTGAATTAATTTATGAGTTCTCAAATTTTTCGGGTGGAGATTTTGGATTCTAATAATGTCTCAATAAATGCAGAATCAGCATTTGACAAAACATAGCATCCAAGACACAAGGAAAATACTTATTGTAGGAAAAAAATACTTATTGTAGGAAAATACTTCATCATTATAAAAAATATATATGTTAAACCCTGTGCCAGTATCATTGTAAATGGGGGAAAACTGAAAGCATTCCCTCTAAAAACTGGAATAAGACAGAGATGCCGCATCTCTCTCACCATTTCTATTCAACAAATGTCCTTGAAACCCTACCAAGAGCATTAGCAAGAAAAGAAAGAAAGAAAGAAAAAAGAAATTAAATGATGCAAATAGGAAAACATGTGCTCAAAATTATGAACAATTCTTAATACAGGCAAATGGCAACCAAAGACAAAATGAAGAAAGAACCTCAAAATGAAGGTCAATGTAGGCTTGTAAGATCATTCATTAAGACCTTGGAAAGAAGGAAGTAGGTGCCTACTGATCCTTTAAGAGAAAGAGAATTGATAATCTAAAATTTGGGCCTCTCAGATTCTACCTGTTAAAAATAGGTCCTCTATGGCTAGGGTTGTAGCTCAGTGGTAGATCACTTGCCTCATGTGTGAGGCACTAGGTTCAATTCTGAGCACCACATATAAATAAATGAATAAATAAAGGTCCATCAACAACTAAAAAAAATATTTAAAAAATAGGTCCTCTAAGAAGTTTAAAGGGTCTGGCCCTCCTATCATGATGATTCAGGAACCCAGAGTAGGGAGGATATTATCTCAGAGACATTTGTGGTTGGGCACCTGCTATGTGCAATACACTTAGAACTTGTGGGAGATCCATGAATCTTTAATGTAATTGCTATATAAAAATACCACTGTTTGAGTTAAAGTGAGCAAAAATAATACACAAGAGAACAAAGGTTTTGGATCCCAAACTGCTAGATGTGATGTGAGGGGAAAAATTCTAAGATGCTCTCAGATCTTCAGCCCCTAGAGAACTTGCACCTATCTTCAGCTCTATGATTCAACAGTAATGTTGCTGCCCCTTTGAAGGTATTTCACAGATGTGATTATTGTCCTCAATCAACTGACATTAATGTGGAGAGACTGGCCATGTGGGCCTTATGCAATCAGGTGGGCCTTTTAAAATTGCTCTCTATGTGGTGACAGAAGACAGAGACTGAACTATCCTTTTTCCACAGAGAAAGACCTGCAGGCAGCCTCCAGCAGCAGAGAGATGGCAGGAGAAGACAGCAATAAATTACACCAACAGCCAGGGACTTGGAAAATGATCCTAACCTGGGTTGAGATCCTTACTCTGACCAACACCTTGGCTGCAGTTCAATGAGATCCAAAGAAGAAAACACAGTTATGCTGGGCCTGGACTTGGAAACCATGGGCACAATAAACTGGTGATGTTTTAAGCCACTAATTTCTGGTAGTTACACAGGGAAATCAGACTGAGAAAACTGATCAATCAAAAACCCATAATTCCCCATTGGACAAAGAAGAATTATTCAGAGCTCCAGACGATTAAACTAGAAACCATGAAGGAGCATTTCCAGGCAGTGGGCCTGTATCTACAGAGTGGGTGTTTGATGGGTTTTCAGGTGATGCAGACCAGGGACAATCGTGGTTTCCCCACTTCAACCCTTTCCTGTAAGAGACTCTGCGGTGGTTGCACTATTTCTGCCCCATGGTTGTAAGTGGGCAAGATAGGGGAAAGGAGCCAGTCCCTTTTGCCCCCAAGTCTTCAAATGAGGAAGAACCTTACCAAGAATCCTCATCTGCATCCAGAACTCACTCAGATGACAATGAGACTCTGGAGGTTTGGGAGAGTGAATATAATTTTCAAGCAGGAAGAATGTACATGTTTTGTGACTGGAGTTCTGACTCTGATGGTTTCAAAGTCCATACCAATATTTAACATCCCTCTCATTGATAAATGGTCTCTGTCCCATTCTTCGTCCCTGGGTGGCCTGTGTGACTGCCCTGGTGTGGAAGCAATGCTGAGTGATGTCTGATGTTGGTGTGAGAAGGCTAAGATTCTGCCAGCTTCTTTGGGCTTTCTCCAATTTCAGCCCTGCAAAAACCCTTCTCTGAGTTCACCATGTGGAGAGGTCAAATAGGGACACCAGACAGAGAAAAAGACACTAAGCTTCTAGTCACTCTAATCCTTTTTAGTCCAGGATGAGACTTGGGAGCAAAGGAGACTTTGAGAAGACCTGGCCCCAGCCACTGTCTGATACAACCACAGAGAGAGAGAATAAAGACAGCTTCAATGTATGATGTAGGCCTTGTGTTCATGAGAAAAATCAGCCATCCTTATTTTTTTCAACAATGAAATATGAGGACAATCAAGAAAATATCACCCAAGAGGATTTCCAACATAGCAGAAACATGGAAGCAGCTAACAACCTAACCTCTAAATTGAAATGAGCTTCAGGTATTCAAAAAAAAATGGAGGACAAAATTAACTTTGTTGGGATATATTCTGATGAGAACCTGAGCTCTGAGGACAGACAAAGAATATCCTTTGCTTCATGGCTTCGTTTCAGATAATGGACTCCAACTGACATATCCCTTCCTTAAGTACTTACTCCAAAAACCATACTTCTTTCCTGTGCTGGTTTCCCGCCCCCCAAAGTGCATCATTATAATTTTTGGGGGGATAGAATTTTTTGCACCCTGGGGAAAACCATAGCAAATTTCATAAATTGAAAAAAAAAATAAGGCCTGAAACAATTGTGCTTAAATTGGCATTCTGAAAATTGAAATAGTCTGAGAAAAGTCATGTCAAAATCAAGGATACTTCTGTGCATGTAAGATATTAAAACAAGTGGCCACAAAATCTTGTGCAAACTCTAAGCTTTGGTGAATCCTAGGCAGTTAGGAAATGCTCAAAAGTAGTAAAGGAGAAAACATATGTATTTTTGTTTTGCCTGCACACATGAGTAATAAAGATTAACTCAGTGTTTGGACCTCATGTTGTTTTCTTGTCTGGCACTGCCCACAATCTACACTGGCCTTCCCCTCTTCTGTTGTTGCTATATGATGGGAGGCAATCTGTGTAGTTTTGTCTGCTAAATGAACTTGGTAATCCACAAACCACAGGAAACATTCAATGAAGGGTAGGTGAAAAGTCTTTACACATTAACAAA